GTTGACCAGGATGGTCTCGATCTCTTGACCTCGTGATCCACCCGCCTCGGCCTCCCAAAGTGCTGGGATTACAGGCTTGAGCCACCGCGCCCGGCCCGACGGTTTCCCTACGGTTTTCTTATTCAAATTTCTAGGACTCACATCCCTCAGCTCAGAACAGAGGCTGCTTTCCTACCTCCAACCAGTAGACAAAAGGCACAGGCTGCACAACTGGATGAATTTAGGTCATGTGCCTGCCCCTGAACCATTCTCAGTAGCTGAGAGAATGCCCCACAGTGATTGGTTTAGGGTGAATTCCTTCCACATTCTTGCATTTAGGGGGATGGGATTATGCTGATTAAGAGTAGGTACAACCCCTTCTGAATTCTGGCTGCGATACAATGAATGAGGCTGGCATTAATGACTGCAAGAATGGACAAAGTTGCTGTTTGAATTTATAGTAAGAAATAAACCATTACAACTTTTCCAAAATGTAATCTTTTAGAAACAAAAATGGTCCATAATCCTGATGCTCTGTTGTCCATCTTTGTTTTGTTTTTGTTTTTGTTTTTGTTTTTGAGACAGAGCCTCACTCTGTTGCCCAGGCTGGAGTGCAATGGCACAATCACTGCAACCTCCGCCACCCAGGTTCAAGCGATTCTCCTGCCTCAGCCTCCTGAGTAGCTGGGATTACAGGTGCATGCCACCATGCCAGGCTAATTTTTTGTAGTTTTAGTAGGGATAAGGGTTCCCCATGTTGGTCAGGCTTGTCTTGAACTCCTGACCTTGTGATCTGCCCGCCTTGGCCTCTCAAAGTGCTGGGATTACAGGCATCAGCCACCGGGCCCGGTCGCATCTTTTTTTGTTTGAACATATGGCAAAAAATGCACAATTCTGAAATGTGGAACATACAGTATAGAATATTACTGGAACAATTGAAAAAACTTGAAGAGACAACAGCATGAAATTTCAGTTTTTCTGAATTTGGTGATTGCAGTGTGGTTATAGAAGAGAATGCCTTTTCTTAGGAGATACACTGTGAAATAGAGGAAAAGGGACATGATTCTGAAACTTTCAAATATTTCAAAAAGTAACACATATGTACACATGTGTGTATGTATACATATATATGTATAGAAAGAGCAATAGCAAATGTGGCAAAATGTTAACATTTGGCAAATCTGGATAAGGATTTGCAATTCTGCATTTGAAATTATTTAAAAATATAAAAAACTTGGCTGGGTGCGGTGGCTCAAGCCTGTAATCCCAGCACTTTGGGAGGCCGAGGCGGGTGGATCACGAGGCCAAGAGATCGAGACCATCCTGGTCAACATGGTGAAACCCCGTCTCTAC